GTATGTCACTTGTTTCCTCATAGTCATGCAAGGCTATTTATCCCTTCACCATGTGTGCACATGTTTTTTCAGTCTGTTGTTTTCTTGTGTATGTTTTATCTCTGCATGCATGCTTGCTCGAGCTTCTATAGATCTGTTTTTTACTATGTATAATCTTTTCAAATATCAATACAGAAAAGCTGATTGTAGACGATGTTGTTATGGCATTCAAAGCTCATGGTAGTAAAGGCAAATTTTTCTTGAACATTTACATTCATGTTTCACCGTAAAGGATTTGTGTTTTGAATTTTATAGTACATATTTATGACTTGTTTGAGAGATTACTTGGGCCTTCAAAAATTTTCCATATTTTTTCATTTACCATTCTCTGCATAGTTCTTAAAATTTAATGTTCACAGTCTTGAAAAATTACCTGTTAAATCAGTATCATTGAAATTTTGGAATTTGGACCCATTAAAGTTAGTTGGGCGGGGTGCCTTAGAAATCATTAAAGTAGAAAGGTAGTAGGCTGGCAAGCCCCTGAATATTTTTGGAATTATCATATATCATGCATGATTTGCTTTTGTGCTGCCAAGAATTGCTGCAGTATCTTAGTTTGAATGCCAATGCTGGGGCCAAGTTTGATAACACGGTCTCAATAAGAGCTATTTATTATTCAATATTGCATTATTGACTCTGAAATTCCATTTATGTGTTGTCAAATGATCAAATGTGATAAATGAGTGGTTGCATGAATGTATGAAGACTTGCTGGGTTGGAAGGGTTTAAGTGTGGTTGGAGCTGTCACAGTTTTACTAAATTAAGTGACACAGTTACTGCAACATATGACATATGTTTTAGCTTTGAAGAGTGGATTACCAAACTGTACTAGTTGATGGCAAGCTATTTTATAGTTGCTAAGACTTTTTTTTTTTTTTTTAAATTTAGTTTTTCTCCTTCTTTTCAGATAAATCAAATGGAAAAGTGTGTGCAGAAGGCACCAGCCTTTTTGTTTTTCAAATAAACATTGACATCAGAAGTTGTTTTGTGCATGCAACAGGTAGTGCGAAAAGAAGTTCTTGACTCTTTTAAGCAAGGTTTTTGCAAATTCTTTTTTGGTGAATCTTGAACATCACGTTCTTGAAAAATTTCATCTTGCTGAATTGCAATTGGGGAAAAGGGCTAGAAATTGGAGATTCTTTCAACTCTTCTGGCAAATTTAATTCTCTAAAGCCCATAAATATACATATGATTGTTGGAGCTGTCAATATCCGAGGTGGTTAACATTTTAGTTGTCATTTTATTGGTGAAACTGGTTTACCATCTTTTGGATGCAGCAATAAGTAGCAGGCGTTTGGGAGATCTGGATTAGGTTTGCCTGAATCAGGTTTTATTTTATGATCATCTGGTTACAGATTTAATTTCAATGATCATCTGAATGTGCTGCTTCATTAGCCTTGCTGCTCAGCCATTCCCCTATTATTCACATCTAACAAAGTTTTATCCTTAAGAATAAGGCTGATATGAGGTATTAGTATTACTTACAATATGGCAATGTTTTAAATCTATAAAATGAGGGTGAGTTCTTGTCAATTAGGAAAATGGGTGATAAGCAAGCCTTTTATGCCTTAGGCTAACAAATATATGACATTTATTATATTTTTACCATGTTAAAATCATAAGGTACTTTATAACTTGTTGAAATATTTACCATCTGAAGGGTCAAAGACTTTCTATGTCAGTAGAAATGTTCTGGTGTATAATTGGTTTGCGGTGAAATGTCTATACATCCTCTAAAATGAACCCAAAATTAATAATGAGATGTTGGAATTCAATAAGTTGTTAAAACAATAAGAGGTGTGAACAGAGATGGTAAAGGCGCTCAAGGACACCATAGTGTTCCAAAAGAAGTCCAGGGCAGGTGTTTGTCCAATTCTTGTGACTGTTATGTTGTACAGTTGTGCTTATATTCAAACTCTTTCCAAATCATATTGATAAACAATCATGTTTCTTAGTCGGTATGTTTAGAAACTTGCTGGAATATGTTCTTCACAGGCTGTATTCATTAAGTACAAAGAACTTGTTTCCTTCTTTGTCAGGTAACTTCTTGTTTCCTTTTCTCTTGTCATTGTGGTTGAGTGATTTTGTTTGGAGCACCAGTTAGAGTAGTTAGTTACAATTGTGAGCTTGATGATTGATTAGTAGGCCAAATATTTCTTGTGCAAGTTTCCTTCCAATACCTTTCTTATTGTTTTCCAGGTCATTGCTTTTGCTAAATCATAGGTTTTGCAATAATTGTTCTTGGAATTGCAAGTATTTTTTTTACACACTAAATCTTTATTATTATGAAGCTTTTGAGCTCCTCGTGTAAAGACTATGCATTACAAGCATGGAAAAACTTTTATAAGGATTAATGATCTTCTGAATGACTTAGTGGTAATTCATGGAGGTCAGGTTACAGCTTGATGCCGACATCAGGCCCTTCAACAGCTTAATCTTTGCTGTGTAGGAACAATGTCCTGACATATAATTGGCAAAAGGGGAATGAAGATGTTAGAAGCAGCGTCTTTTCTCTGGATGTTGCATTTGGTAAGTTTCTATAAGCTTGTGAAAGTACAAAAATCTTCCAATAGAGCATGTTTATTTCTTCATTATCCCTTTGAAACTACTAGTGAACAAGCACCAATGGTTCTCTTGCTTAAGCCTTTCAGAACTTGAGTTCTTATTTTGTTCTTTTGTACATATGTTCTCTGCAATTTTAAAAATCTCAAACCCTCAAAATGATTTTATGAGATCATGACGCTCACTTGTGATCTCAAGCCTTTTTTTTGTTTAATAATGTCTTTAGATGTCAACATATCTTGGTGTCTATCTCTGTGACTTTAATGTTTCATCTTCTTGGTTCCTTTTATTCGAGGCTTATATTTGTAATATGGTATGATGTTGGTTGTTTGAATCATCATCATGGACTTGTGTATGGCCTTTGGGTTCATATGAATCTATGCTCCAATTTGCTTGTATATATGAAGTCTAGGAGTCTGAAACCATTAATGTCATTTCTTAGTGGATATCTCCTAGAGCAATTTTCAGCTAACAGATGTTCATAATGGTAATCTAATAGGTCTAATCTGTGTAACCCCCAGGAATCCTTTTTCTCTCTCTGGTCCTTTTTAATAATCATGGCCTTGTTTCGGTCCCATATTGGATGTGGAATGGGGAGCTCTTGTTGGATATGTTTATAGATTCAAGGAACCTGATTGTCGCAATTTGGATGGACTTTTTGTGTTAGCTTTGTGGTTAGCACAGACACATACACATAGGCTAACTATATGACATATCTGTATCTGCATATGTGTGTGTATATGTAATACTCATGTATAGTACATATGGGAGCATGAGAATGGATCTCTTTAGAGCTTGAATTGAAATAATCATCACAGTTTTGATCAATTGACTGCAGAAATTTAATCTTCATTATTACTTGATTAATTGACTCTATCTATTTTAGTTAAGTCTCTTATTTTTAGAATGAAGAGTGATTTGGGTAATTACACCAAATCCATTAGATATTTTCCCATTATGCGTAGAGAGTAAATTACTCTTTGATTAGCTGTTTTTAATGTATGAAAATCTTGGTTTTTAAGGCTGAGAATATTCAGTCTTTAGCCTATATATTTTCATGCAATTCTAGCATTGTAAGAAGAAAAATATAGAAGAATAAAATAGTTTTATTCTAGAGATTTCTTCATTGACAGACTACATCACACTTACCATGGGGTTTAAAATTTCACTAAAAAGTTTTTCTTCCTGCCATGCTAACATGGGGTGAATGCATCTCATGTTAGACGAAGAACATTTGTGTACAACAATGTGTTAGTAAAAATTTTTCTTCTCTGCTATGTCAGCAAATTTTCTTTTCCTTTATTGACAGATGCTGGTTGGCTTATTTTACTTTCCTTTATGGATTGATGCTGGTTGGTATCTTTTGGTAACAATCATCTTTGTGTCATGGCTGGTTTGTCTCTTGTTTTCTTTTTTGTCTTGGCGAGCTTACTTGCTGGAAAGTGCAAACTGACCATAAGAGGTCGGGGTGCTTGTGTTTTTTGGTCAAATCCCCTCATACAAACAAATCCTGCAAATAATTTTAGACAGTCAGTTAAAGAAGCATGGGTGAAAGCATTATAAATCTTCAATACATGCATGATCGTTGCTAGTTCTTAAAAGAGTGGATCAATTGAATTTCATTGACATATTAATTGCACTGTTTCTGGAAGGACATTGAACCAGAGATGTCTTATAATAGCTGTTCTTCTAATATCAGGAAATGATGTTTAACATTTAGGAAGCAGGACATAAGTGATGCAAAATGAGAAATATTCTGAATCTGTAGGAATTTTTCATGTTGTAAAAGAAAACAGCCAATTTAAGTAGGTTTCATATGATTGGACATGAATAAAGTTCAACCATCAGTACAAGTGATTTTCAACAGTTAGCAATTAATGGTAAATTACTTAGAATGGATTATTAAATCATGACTAGTATATATTGAGTTTCCGTAGCTTTAATATATGGTCCGATAAATATCATTCATAAGTATGCACTTTTTTGCAACTGGTGTTTATTCAATGAGTTGAAAAATGTGAAAACCAAACCTAGCCACATCACTTGAGAGTCAAAATGTTTAAAAGATTGGCTTACATCTTTTGAAACCCTAATAGCCTTAGTCATGTTCCAGCAAGTTTTTGAACTTTAATGAAATATGCAAATCGCAAACCCTAAAATGTGAATGATGAATGAGTCGGGACTTGAATGCCACACTCAACAATGTAGTTTGAAATCTATGCATTAAGTCATATTTAAAAATTATATATGAACTAGAGAATCCTGAATAATTAGCAATTGTCTGTCTTTAATATGGCAAGTTTGAGCATTCTACCTTCTAACAATGTTCCTCTCTCTAAAAGTACTGTCCAGCATCAGATGGATATGAGTACAATGTGTGACCCCATGGATAGGAATGGCAACTCTTGCCTTCCACAAATACTAAGCAGGGTTGACTTAGACCCTGGGGTCTTTGGATATGATGCACCTAGTGAGAAGCTGATCCTTGCCATTGAGAGGCATGTACATGGAAGAGTTGGAAAATAAGGAAAAAAGCTGCAAAGGAAAATTGAGAGAGAGAGATTTGCAACCACTGTGGTGGGTAATGGTCTTTTTTTCTTTCTTTGGAGGGTTAGAGATAGAATCTGCATGCTGGTGCTAAATATTATGTGATTTATTTGGGTAGTAACCACACTTAGCTTTACAATCTCTATTTGCATATGATCATTCAAAAGTGACACTCTTGTAATATTTCTTTGAAAAGTCAAATTATTTTGTTAGACATTTTTGCTTACTGCAAAACAAATTAAAGTTTAAATTAGGGGTGATTGATGATGTTTGCTTCTGCCTTCTTACTGGCTTTAGCTCATTTCTGTATCAGGTGCAAAGCAATTATTTTTCTTTTAATTGTAATCCTTCTCATTATTTTACTAAATTCTCTTTAATTTGCACTATCCTTAAACCAACATCTCTCTGTGTGCAATTTGCTGTGTGATTAAAACACAGTATTTCGTTCTTTATCCAATATACTCTTTTAACTTTCCAGCTCTACATGCAGGACTGGCTCATTATAGTTTCAAGTCCAGGAAGTGTACCTTCATGTATCTACCACCATGTTGGTGCACATCTTATTCTTATGGTTTTTCCATTTGTCATCAAAATAATTCATTGGTTTTGGCTGCATTTCTACCCCATGATTTTTCATTTTTGTGTGATCAAATGTTAAAGAAAAAAAAAAAGAAAACCTAGGTTTCTGGTGGGAAATCATTAGTTACTGTATATGAACTTATTGTTTGATTGGTATGAATGCTGAGACTAATGTGTAATAAATAAACAGTTTTTGTCCCATTTCTATATATGTGTGCCTAATGAGAAGCTGTTGCTTGTTGCATGCAGATAGGATAATTGAATTATTAAAAGTAACATTTCATACCTTTCCAAAAGCAGTACTGAATTTCCTCAGTTGAAAGTCCTAGTAGACATGGATTAGTTTTTGTAAGTAACCTTTTTCCTTTATTACTAAACCATGGCAACAATTTTAATGTTCAAAAGCTTGGTGGGTAATTTCTTACCTTTGAATATTCTTGATACAGATGTTCCAAAGTATACAGTTCGTCTATCCATTCCATTGGAATGTCCATCGGGTTGAGGCTAGATTCATGATCTGCAAAGACCTGTGTGGTAATAGCAACTTCATTTTATAAGCATCTAAATATCAAATGAATTTATACATGCTGGGCAGTGTAGGAATAAAAAAGGTCAGTTTTTGAATACTGAAAGATAATCCATATCTTGTATAGGTTGGGTTCTGGTTTCCCAGATTCCACTGGAACCCCCTTCTTCTGAGTCTTCTGAGAATTAGAGTTGGCAATAGCTTGAACTACATTACCTCATTAATTTGAAAATACGTCCCATTTAGGGGAAAGCTTCCTCTCATTGCAGTTCTACAAGGTATCTGTACACATTGCAATGCAAATATTAGCAACGAATCTATGAGGTATTTGCGATTTGTGCTTCCATAACATTTATGTATGAGTAAATATTGCTCACCAAGATGGCTCCTCGGACTGTCTGTGCATTTGTTTCTCTTACACTATTGCAAGCAAAGCAGGTCTTCTCATTGCACAATCTTCCTGGTTCTTGGGATCCAGAACTTTGTGGTTGAATTGAATTTGCAGTTTCACCTATTAAATGCATGTTTACAGAAGCTCATCTAATTAGTTTGTAGTAGGGCAAACAATATCTTTTTCCGCTAGTACTTGTCACTTGTCAGTGTGTAGTTTGAACTCTAACTATGATGATATATCCTATTTACATACCTGCCAATCTATGGTGTGATCTTAACATTGTATCCTATTTTCAAAAGTATATCATAAATGGTATGAGGTGCTGTTTAGCTCACCTCTGAGCCTACTTAATATAGCTTGACATTGTGAGGTTTTGTTCTTACCTGGTATCCATATAGCTAGAAGGTAGGGGCTAGGATCATCAGGTTCCTGCCTTTCCATCTATAAATAGCGTAAATATGGAAGTTAGAGAAGTACATTATGGATAGAACTCATAATTTTTTAAATGAGTAAGTCAATTTAAAAAATTATCAATGTGTTACATGTATCAGAAATGTTTTATCATCACACAAAAAAAAATTGTTTTATCATCAGAAAAATATAAATATAAAATTAAAATTCGTTTAAATTTAAAGTTATTATATAAAATAAAAAATACATGTATATAAATTCAAATATAAACCTATAAATCAAAATTCAAAATTAAATAAATACTTAAATATTGAATTAAGTTTTATCTAAATAAATCTACATATTTAAATATAAAAAACCCTCACCTCAATTCCTAATTTTAAATTTCAATACTTGGAGTATCTTGAGTACCCGTTCACCTCAAATTTATTCCAAACACACATGTCAACATACTAAATCATGTAATTAACTTTCATTTTAAGGATATATTTTTTATAATGTTTAATCTATTTTAAAACTTTTCTTAATTTTCATGCTAAATTAAAGATGGACATTTAACATGGAACCAAGATAGTATTAAAATAAGTTAATTAAGTTGGAAAATTAATTTCAGATATCAAAAAAAGCATGGGGCTTCTATCATAAAATTTTGTTATATATAACATAATTATCCAATATTCAATATTTTTCAAAAAAAAAAAAAAGGATGACATAAGTTGTTCTTACGTTTCAGGCGACATGATAGTCAATTTTTATAGCACAACATATATGATAATCAAATGCACTAGCTTTTGTTCCCTTTAGTTAATTTTGTTTAGAAGAAAATCAGTAAAAACACCTAATAAAATAACCGATATAGTTTCAATTGTTAACTCAAATATGAAATTAAAATATAACCCAACTGAAACTTACAAGTCCATAAATCTCATTAAATAGATTAACAAAATGAGAAAAAAAAATCCAACTCACTAAGGTATTGATATAGAGATTTTTTTAAAAAAATGTTGCTATTCAATAGTGTAAAACTAATAATTTATTTTAGCCAAAATCTAATTAAAGAAATATTAATAATTACTTAAATTTATTTAGGGTGCAAATAAAACAAAATTATGTTATATTATATAAATATATAAAAGTCAAAACCTTTGATAAAAAAGAAAATAATTCAATATGGATAGCTTATAATTTTGACATATGGATGAGTTTAAAAATCATCATGTATTCTCTAATAATTGTATTTTATTTATTTAAAATATTTTTATTATTTGTTATAGTAACATTTTTATTACTTAAAAAATAATTAGTTAAACTAAATTAATTACATTTATTACCTTTAAATATCCAATATTTTTACCTTATATGAATAAAATACAATTAATTTGGTCAATAATACAAATAAAAATAGAAATTAAATATAAAGTTAATTACTCATGAATATATTTCCATATCTTCTAATTACTCATGAAAAATTAAATGAAATTTAATGTAGTAATAAGAAAAGAGGAATTTGACGTTTAATGGGTTTATAATAATAATATCATTAAATTAGGGAAGATTTTGTTTTCTTTTTTAAAAATATAGATTAAGCAAGAATTCTGTAATTTTGAAGGAAAAATCTCATTAATTTCATGTATTTTATTACTTATTATATTATACTGTTAATAATTATAACTTTTTAATATATTTACGATAATATCTCTTGATAGCAATATAAATACAAATATTCTTCTAAAAAGAATATTAAATAAATCAAATTTCACTATTCTTTAATTTTGTTTTATTGCAATTTTGTCTCTATTATCTTATAATAAATTCATTTTATAGTTTTGCTTGCTATTTTTTTTTAAGTTTATTAAAGTTTTACTCATATTTTTTGTTTATGCAATTGTTAGGTTTTATTTTTAGAATAGCAATTTTATCAAGCATATATTTTAGTATTTTTTTTTTTTATAATTTATAATTTAAAGATGAATCTTTAATATTATATATATATATATATATATATATATGTTGAATATGATGTTGCTAGGGAATTCTTTTCTTTTATGAGTTATTAGTTAGTAAAGACTTAATTATTTTTTTTATTTTGGGCAATTACTCAATAAGGTTATGTTGATTTGCAAGGTTTCATAGCCATATGCTAAGGATAATTGATTAATTTGGATATAACCATATTTGGCGATTATGCATTGGTTGGGAGGCAAATTGTAAGGATTCTCAAATATTTTATTATAAGTTAAGTCAACCTAAAATGATATAGTTAATTATGATTTGGCTAAATATGTTTTGGTTTGAATTGAAAATAGAAAAATTCTTTTCTAAGTTCTTAGTGAATGAAGTTTTAGATGATATAAGGGGTGTTAGTTTGTAATTTTTACTAATTTTATAAAAATGGAACAAATTCCTCAATTTTATGAATTTTACCATTTATTTCATTTAACAAGTCCTAACATTTTGGAAATATTCAAACAACAATTGAAACTTTTATACCTAATTTTCTATATTCTTATATATATTTCTTTTTAAGATAGACATTATTGATTCAATTCTTTTTTAGATAAATAAACATTTCAAGATGCCATATTGATATACCACTAATTTTGTAATTCATAACAAAAACACGCACAATATTAAAATAAAAAAGTCAAT